TATTATTACTACTAGTATTTTATAGAATTAGTTAGTATTTAGTTATTAATTAATTCTTAATTATTTTCCTATATACCTTATTATTATTACTATTATTATTATTACTACTACTAGTATTATTACTAGTACTCTAAGGAATTAGTTAGTATTTAGTTATTAATTAATTTATAATTATTTTACTATATACCTAGTTATTATTACTATTATTATTACTAGTAGTATCTTTACTATTAAAGGACTTAGGCTATAGAATTAGTTAGTATTTAGTTATTAATTAATTTATAATTATTTTCCTAGGTACCTTATTATTATTATTACTACCTATAGTACTCTAAGAAATTAATTAGTATTTAGTTATTAATTAATTTATAATTATTTTCCTATATACCTTATACTACTCCTACTCCCTTAATACTATTATATCCTTAGCCTATAGAATTAGTTAGTATTAAGTTATTAATTAATTTAAAATTAGTTTCCTATATACTTTATTAACTAAGGACTCCTCCTCCTTCTTCTCCTAATTATTATTAGCCTATTATAATTAATTAGGAATTAATTTTAAAGTAATTACTAATTACTTACTAAGGTAAATACTAGTGCTTAGAGTAGGGAGATAGGGCTAGGGTTAGCTGCCTTAGCCTTATATAGGGTATTAGGTAGTAAAGACTTATTAATAATTAATTAAAAAAAAGCTAAATAGGTTAGTAAGTAATTTTAAACTAATTAAGATTAATATAAGTAATTCTTAATTAATTAGGATTAGTATAAGTAATTTTTAATTAATTAGGAATATAGTAGGAATTAATTAGGATTAGTATAAGTAATTCTTAATTAATTTAGAATATAGTAGGAATTAATTAGGATTAGTATAAGTAATTCCTAATTAATTAGGATTAATATAAGTAATATTTAATTAATTTAGAATATAGTAGGAATTAATTAGGATTACTATAACTAATTCCTAATTAATTAGGAATATAGTTAAGAATTAATTAGGATTATTATAACTAATTCTTAATTAATTAGAAATATAGTTAAGAATTAATTAGGATTATTATAACTAGTTAAAAATTAATTAGGAAATACTTACTAACTAATTTAGTCTTTTTAGCTAAATTATTAGTATTAGGGCGCTACTTCTCTACCTATATCTTATATACCTCTATATAGTAGTAATAAAGGTTAGAATAGTTTAAAAATAGTATACTCTAATTAATTATAAATTAATTATAAATATTAAATTAATTCCTAATTACTTACTATAAGGTATAAGTTATTATCTTTATACTAGTAATAATAAACCTTACCTAGGGTAAGGATTATATAGCTACTTTATAATTTATTTATAATTAGTTTAGAATATATTCTAAAACTATTTTATAATTAATTAGGAATTACTTACCTTATTCTACTATAGTAGTAGGAAATAGCTTACTAGTAGCTACTTCTTACTATTAAAGTAGGCCTTAAAAGTATTAGAATTTATTATAAATTGATTTATAATTAATTATTTAGTAAGAAATAGACTATTAGATTATTATTATATAGGTTAGAGGAACTAATTCTAAACTAATTATATAGTAATTTAGAACTAGTTAGAAATTATTTATATATATAACTACCTTACTAAGAAAAAATTTTTAGCTAGTAAAAGTATAAAAGATATTAATACCTATAGTATTAAGAGTAATTAAGTTATAAACTAACTAAAATACCTAGAATATATTAACCTATTAAGGCTAATAAATTCCTAACTAAAACTAAGAAAACTAGTAAGTAACTAGCCTATAAATATATTACTAGAGGCTAGCTATTTACTAAAATAGTAACTTATCTACTAAAGTAGGATTTCTAACTAATTAATATATTAGAAAGTTAATACTATATAGAAGTTATTAGGAATTAGTTCTAAATTAGTTTTAAATATATTAAAAAAGACTTTATTATTAAATTTAAATAATAAGAGAATAGAATATAGAAGAAGTAAGATACTAGAGTACTATAGGCTTTCTTCTTTTTATATTTAATAAAATCCTCCTCTTTTCTTTATAAAATTAGTTTATTTTCTAATTTTATAAGATTTTCTTTACTATATATACTATTTATATATTAGTTCTTAACTATCTATATATTAGTTACTAACTATATACTTACTAAATATAAATAGTATTAGAAAGTAATTTTAAATTAATTTAGAATTTATTAGAATAGACTTTAATTTACCCTTTTATTATATTTTTTATTTTATTCTATTTTATCTATATTAAGATTAATAAGTATTTAGAATTCTCTATTTTTTTAGGGTAGTATATTCTTACTTAATTATAAACCTTAAAGTAATTTTAAAAGTTCTTATAATTTATTTATAATATATTTCTAACTAGTTTTTAGAGCTTTTCTAATAAGTAATAAATACTTTCTAAACTACTTCTTACTTATTTTCTTTTTATAATAGAAGATACTACTTATACCTTATATACTTTTATTAAGAATATTAGTTATAAATTAATTACTAATACTCCTAGATTACTAGAAAGTATATTATCTATTTACTAAGTTATTCTAACTTTATTATTACCTAAATACCTAGCCTTTAGGTAATTTAGAACTATTTATATTATTTATAGCTTATCTATATAGTAGTTTTAAACCCCTTAGAAAGATATATATAATAAAGGGAGTAATTAGTTTTTAATTACTTACTAACTAATTCCTAGGTTTAATACTACCTTTACTATAAATAACTACCTAAGTTAATATTTTCCTATTTACTTAGTCCTTATATATAATATATTTTTAAATATATAGGGGGTAAAGTCTATTTATTATATAATTAAATAGAATATTTATATTACTCTATATTACTTAAGTTATTTAAAGACTTAGTAGAGAAGTAATAATAAAGTACCTTTATAATTAAGTAGGTATATTAGAATACTATAAGGTAAATAAAGTCCTAACCTATTTAGAACTAGTTCTAAATTAATTAAATATATCTTTCTTACTTCTTAATACTTTAGTTTTACCTATTTTATTATTATAATATTTAATTAAAGAATATAATATAATCTATTTAATTTAATATATATATTATAATATAGATAACTTCCTATCTAGGTATTTTAGTATATTACTACTCTAAATTAATTACTAATTAGTTCTTAGTTATTTATATAATTAAATACTTATAAGTATTTCTTTTACTTAAATTTCTAATAATTACTTAAAAAGTCTTATTTCTATATATATTATAACTTAAACTATTAATTATATTAAAATAAGATTTCTATAATTCTCTATAAAGATTCTATTAAAGAGTAAAAGTAATACTATTTTATTTATTTAAATATAATTTATTACTAATACTATAGTAAGTATAGTCTTTAATTATTTATATTTTAATTAATTATAAATTAGTTTAAAACTACTTAATAAGTAAAAGTATATTATCTTATCTTCTATATAAAGTAGTTTTTATATTTTTTATCCTATAGTTAGCCTAGATAGATATAATTATTTTAATATTATATAGATTATATTCTTATATACTAATTCCTTTATTAAAACTATCTTTAAATATTATAGTATAATTCTAATATCTAGCTATAACTTTTAGGAATACTATAATATCCTTAGGTATTATTTCCTTTTTATTAAGTCTAGAACTAATTTAGAACTAATTACTAATTACTTTCTCTAGTTTTATTATTTTCTAATAAGTATATTTAAATAATATATACTTATTAGGCTATAATACCTTTATTAACCTACTTAGTTCTATTATATTATAATATAAAACTACTTATAATTATTAAGAAGTCTTAAGCTTTATAATTTCTATTTAAATAGAATTTTATTATCTTAATTATACTCTATTATTAAGAAATAAATACTAAGTAATAAATATATTATTTATATTAATAATATCCTTTAACTAATTATAAACTAGTTACTAACTAGTTCTACTCCCTTTAATATATTTAATACCTAGAGTATTTAGATAATTACTATATTATTATATATTTCTATTATAACTAACTAGAGAATATCTTTTAAGGCTATTATATAGCTATTAAGGTAGATATTAAGTATAAATAACTAGTTAGTAGTAATAACTACTAACTAACCTAGGTATTTTATTTAAAAACTTATAATTAAAATAAACCTATTTAAAACTAATTCTAAATTAGTCTATTATATTTACTATTTTACTAACTATATTATAATTATACTACTACTTTATATCTTCTTTAATAAGAATAATACCCTTACTTATAAATATATATACTTTAAAGTATTTATATTATTTAAATAATATTTTTATACCTTAATAAAATAGTAAAATATTTATAATAAAGGTCTTTATAGTCTTATTTATAATATAAAAACTACCTATTATTAAGGTATATTCTTAATTAGTTTAGAATTAGTTTTAAACTTATTATATTATAAGATTAGCCTATACCCTCTTTAAACTTAACCTAGAGTATTAGCCTTAAGAATAGTACTTTACTTATATAATCTAACTTTATTAATACTATTTTATAACTAGAGTTAAATAATATTTTAAAAAAGGCTATTTAATATATAATTAAATAATATTAATTTTAAATACTTTATCTTAAGATAAGTATTATATAATCTTTTATATTTTTTAATATAAATAAGTCTTAAACTATTTAAGAACTAATTACTAACTAATTTCTCTAGGGATCCCTTTAATATAATACTAGGTAGAGTATAAAGTAAATCTTATTATTACTATAAGCCTTAACTTTACCTTTATAAATATCCTAAAGTACTTATAAAATAATATTTTATAAATAATAAATAGTATTAAATTAAGTTATAACTAGTTTTATATTTAAGGTAGTACCTATATAAGCTTATTTAAGGCTTTAAAAGGGTATTTATTCTATTTAACTTTACTTATTCTAATTAATTTAAAATTAGTCTTTAACTATTTAATAAATAATTAATAACTATATAATATTAAAGTATTTATTATAATATAGTATTTTAATACTATATAGATAATCCTTAAGCTTAAGTAACTTATATTATTATTTAAGCTTATATAAGTTATTAATTATATTCTATTTAAAGGTAAAGATAATAAAATATAGGCTTTATACTATTATAATATACTAGCTCTTTTAAGATATTTAGGTATAGTTAAAATACTTAATATAAATCTTCTTTATAATAAATTATAAACTAATTTAAAAGTAGTTCCTAACTAGTTATAGTTAACTTACTTTAAGATAATTATAAATAATACTATAAATAATAATACTATAAGTAGTAATACTATAATTAATAATATTATAAGTAGTAATACTATAAGTAATAATATTATAAATAATAATACTATAAGTAGTAATACTATAGGTAGTAATACTATAAGCTATAATACTACTACTAAGTTTACTTTAAACTAGTAATAAGGAGTTTAGATAATAAGAGTTTAAGTATTATTTTTTTAAATAGGTTTCTAATTAGTTTAAAACTAATTAGATAAACTACTAAACCTTATATATTAATTAAATATTTCTAGGTAGATTCCTAACTACTTTTAATAATACTATAAACTATTAAAAAGATATTAAATAATATAGAAAGGATAAATAATTAAATAACTAAGATAAAAGAAAAATAGAATAATTAAGAAATTAATTAATTAGTTCTTTAAATTTCTACTATATTTTATAATTTTTATTATATAATATTAATAAGTAGTATTATTTTTTAGTAAAATAATACTTATATTAGATATTTAATAGATTACTAATTAGTTTTAACTATTTTTTATTAACCTATTCTAAATAAGTTAATAAAATTAGGATTTTTTAAAATATTTTATTCTTTTTTTATATTTAAGACTTTTTTAAAGTAAAAGGTATAAGACTTTTACTTATAATAAAGTCCTATTATTTTAATTACTTTATTATAACCTTAGTAGATTAGCTAATAGCCTATATAATAAGTAAATTAGTTTAAAACTAGTTTAGAATTAATTAAAAACTAATTAGCCTATATACTTAAGATTTCTTTATTATTACCTTTATAGATTAGCTAGTATTCTATATAATAAATAAATTAGTTTTAAATTAATTTTAAATTAATTTTAAATTAATTAGTATATTTAAACTTAATTATCTTAAACTATATTAAGGAATTAATTATACTATTTAATAGCCTTAATTTACTATTATATTATTAATATCTTTATAATTAGTTAATAGATTTATAGACTATAATATTAAATATAATATTATAGATTTAATTATAAACTTATAAGATATAAATAAAAATAAAGTATAGAATTAGTTAATTAAAATTAATAATAAATTTTACCTAAATAAATAATTATTTAGTTATTATATATTATATAACTTAATATATTTAATAAGTAAATACTATTATTATAATAAGTATAATAAGTAAATATTATTATTATAATAAGTATAATATTTAATAAAGTCTTTATAAGATAGTATTTTAGTATTTTATTATTATTATTATAAAAAGGAAAAGAATTAGTTATAAATAAATTTAAAACTAATTAATAACTAGTTTTAAAATAGTTTATAAATCTAATAGAGTATTATATAGGGGAAATATCCTTATAATAGGAATATTATTATACTAAGATATATAGTATATATTAAGAATTAGTAGGGCTACCTTACCTAAGGGTTGCCACCCTTAGCCGAACTTACTAAGGTACCCTCAGGTGAGACACCCCCTCTGAAGAATACGAATGCAAAAAATGCAAACCAGTATTGCTTAGTTGCATCCGCCTAAGTCAGAGCCGCCCTTGTCACATAGCCCATCACGCCCCGATATAAAGAAACTGTTTGCTTGCAAGGCCACAATCCATCCTTTGACGTTCTGTCCTCCGAGATTCGGCTGCAGATATCCATCCAACGCTGAAAATGATGTGCATTTCCCAAACACCCTGAATCAATCTATATTTCGTGGCACCATTCGGCAACTGTGCCACAATCTGACCCGAACTATGTAGAGACGGCCGGCCGTGCAGGACAATGCCCACCAAAACCCACCTGCCGCAATCAAGGGTCCGATAATGCGGCACAATGCAGAGCCGCCACAAAGCCAATCGTGGCGAGATCATGGCCGATAGCTTGGACTCGCCGTCGCACCGCCCGAGTCTCCCGGCCCTACCCGGGTTCCACCAGCTCCCGCGCATCCACGCTCCACCGGTGGCGGGACGCGCTAGTTAACAGGTAACAGAAGTACTGGACCGACGGGGGAGCTTGGAAACAAAAGCCGGCCCCTCAGAATAGCATCATGTCATCTTGTGGAAAAACGAGTCGAGATGCGGCATCGAACTACCGCGATTCCGGGGTAGGAGCCGCTCGTGTGCGCCCATATCGCGGGGGGGGAGGGGGGCAGATATGTCTTCCGACGGCGTAGCCGACTACTTAGCTACAGCTCCTGTAGACTCCTTTTCCGTCCGAGACGTTGCTTCCACGACCAACTCATCTATACATATTCCTAGTTATCCCTTTTGCCCTTTTTTTTCTTCCCCCCTCCTTTTCGCACACAAATAAACCCTCCCCCCCTCATGGCCAACCCCTCCTCATACGACATTGGCGTCGTCGGGGCCGGCCTCGGCGGTCTCTCCGCCGCCATCGCGCTGCGCCGCGCCGGGCACCGCGTGACGCTCTACGAGCGCTTCGCCTTTGACGGCGAGGTCGGGGCCTCGCTGTCGCTCGCGTCCAACGGGTCGCGGTTCCTCGCCGCGTGGGGGGTGCCCGTGTCCGCCGCGCGGCCCGTCGTCCTGCGCAGCCTCGTCCGCCACGACTGGGCCTCTGGCGCCGTCATCAGCACGTACCCGCTCGGCGACTACCGCGCGCGCTTCGGCGCCGACTACCACAACTTTCACCGCATCGACCTGCACCGCACGCTGGCGGCGACCGCCCTGGGCGAGGACGGCGAGGGCGGCCCGCCGGCAGTGCTACGCACCTGGCGCCGCGCCACCGCCCTGCACCCCGAAACCGGCACCGTCGTCTTTGCCACCGGCGAGACGGCGACGCACGACGCCGTCATCTGCGCCGACGGCATCCGCAGCGCGCTGCGCCCCGCGCTGCTCGGCGCGCAGCCCGACGTCACGCCCTCGGCGTCGTGCTGCTACCGGTGCATCATCAGCCGGGAGGCGCTCGCGGGGCTCGGCCTGCAGGACTTTGCCGACGCGAGCGCCATTGAGTTTTGGGGCGGCGAGGGCATCGACAAGATTGTGCTGAGCCCGTGCTCGTCCGGCTCCGTCGTCAGCTGCTACTGCTTCTACGCGGCGGCCAAGAACGACGAGACGCCCGACGGCTGGGACCAGGCGACGACGGGGGCGCGGCTGGCGGCGACGTTTCCGGGGCTGGATCCGCGGCTGCGGCTGCTGTTTGCGCACGCCGACGACGTCAACATGTGGCGGCTGTACCACCACGCGCCGTACGCGCGGTGGACGCGCGGCGTGGCCGCGCTGCTGGGTGACGCCGCGCACCCCATGATGCCGGACCAGTCGCAGGGCGCGTGCATGGCCGTCGAGGACGCCGCCGCGCTGGGTATTTTGTTTGGCCCGCGGTATGCGGCGCTCGGCGGCGTCCGTGAGAAGCTGCTGCTGTACGAGAGGGTCCGGCTCGCCCGCGCGACGAGGCTGCAGGAGGCGAGCAAGCGGGCAAGGACGGATATTCGCGAGCGCATTGGCTGGAGCAGCGCGAGCGACCTGCCTGGGAAGCTGACGATTGAAGAGGTGTGCGGCTATGACATGCACGCGCATATAGAAGAGGTGGTGGCTGAGTATCACAAGGAGAGGACGGGGCGGGACGAAGTCAAGGCGGTTCAATAGCAAGCATAAATTCGGTATATCGAGTGTATATAATGAAAAAGCAGCGCCAGCTCGTAGTGTTCATCAAATGCAAAAAAAGTCTATGTAGTGGAAGAAGAAGGAAAAGAAGAAGCAAGAAGAGAGGAAGAAAAAACGACAAAAATGATCGCTCCGCTAAAAGACTACCAGCCCGTGCATCTCCTCATAACGGATGCGCGCCCAGTTGACAATCGCGCCCGTCCCCGCCGTGTCATCTCGTCTCGACCACACGCGCTCAACCAGGTCGCGCGCGTTGAAGACGTACCCGAACCCGCACGTGCGCTCCATGACGAGCAGCCGGTCCTGGATGATCAGCCGGTGCTCGTACTTGGAGCAGGCGCCGCCAGCCATGACGAGCGGGAACAGCACGCAGGCCTCGAGCGGGCTGCCGTAGCGAATCTTTTGCACCGCCTCGAGGATGGCGCCGACGCACTGGTCCACCTTGGGGTCCGTCAGCTCGTAGCCGTCGACGACCTGGTGCAGGCGCAGGCGCACGGCGTTTTCAAACGACACGGCCGCGTGCAGCACGTCGTCGCTGCCCGCGGTGCCGCTCGACGGCGCCGACTGCGAGTACACGGCCCGCGACAGGCCCCCGTACTCGTACGACCAGTGGTTGATGCGCTCCTCGACGTGCTGCGCCTCTTCGCGGAAGGCGGCCTCGGACGCCCGGTCCACGCGCGTTTTGCGCTTGTCGGCGAGCGTGTTGACGAGGTCGAGCAGGTGGAACAGCTCTTTGGGGATGCCGTAGACGGCGGAATCGTCCTCGTCGGGACTAAACGCGAGCCGGTTGAGCGTCGCCGCCTCGGCTTCCTCGTCGCCGATGAGAGGTGGCCGACAGGTGGATGTCGTGGCGGCGGAATCGAGGAACCGAGCCAGTCGCAGCAAAAACTTGTAGTGTCCGGTCAGCATTTCGCCTTGCTGTGTCATGAGGGTAATCAAGAGTCGCTTGGCGCCCTTGAGATGTAGCTTCCATCCTTCACTGGTCCCGTCGAATAACTCGGTCATGCAGAGTAGCAGGCTTGCGACAAGGGCAATGTCCGCGCTTTGCTTATCAACATGTGGTAACAGCTGGGCCAGTGCCGATGCCGCTTTGCCCTGGTGATAGAGGCCTCTGCTGCCTAATGTGGGCTGCAGCTTGCGCCAGTGATTCGCTGACAGGGCGAGTATGCAGTGAAGGACAAGGTCGTTGCCCTGGGCCATGGGCAGGAGGTAGTGGTTGTATGGGTTGCTGGTGGAGTTTCTTCTCGAGAGAATGGAAGAGACAATGGTAGAGTAGTGGTTCATCAAGGCGCGGTCGTTTGTTGTTTGCAGTTGAGGTAGTAGCTGCGGGACATATACAGAGAGTGTGGAGTGGTGGTTGAGATCCAGGGCATCGGGGGCGCTGCTGTTGCTGACAGGAGTAAACGCTTCCACCCAAGAGGGAGGCGAGGTTGACAAGTCCCAAGAAATTTTGTCCGAGATTGCCTCGCCGTCCGACGCCGAGCTGTCGCGCTTGATGACGGCCGAGTTTTGCTTGACCTCGGAGACGTAGCTGCTGGCATTGCTATTACTCCGTCTTCCGTTGACACTCCCGTTGGAGTGCGGCGAGCTGCTCGCGCTGGGGCTGGGGCTCTGGCTCTGGCGGAGTGGGATCTCGATGAGAGCCGGGTCGCCGCCGCTGCTCGGCTTGTCCGAGGGGGAGGAGACGTCCTTGCGGGACGAGGAGAGGCTGGGCGACTTGTCCTTGGGGCGATCGACGGGCCAGGCGCAGTCGAGGCAGAGGCGGCGGCAGTCGCCGCAGCGGGGCTTGGTCTCGTCGCACTTTTTCTTGCGGCGCTTGCACATGAGGCAGCCCGTCTGGACGCGGCGGATGCGGGCCTTGGGCATGTCGCCGAGGGCACCGGGGAAGCCATCGGGGCCGGTGGCGACGGCGTCCCGGGGCATACATGGCAGGCTCAGTCGCACGCACCGCGCGCAGGGCAAGTTGCCGTCGCAGGCCTGCTTGATCTGGGCGCAGCGATGGCACACAGGCCTGCTGTCGGAGCCCATGGCGTTGTCTTTTATGTGTTGATTTTTTTCTTGGCCGTTTGTATCTCTCAGCGACTGGAGAGGGGGCGGGTTACGTAGTGGTGTGCTTTTTGTGGTCGGTTTGTGTTTGGACTGCGGGCCGAGGCCTTGGTGCGCAGAGACGGCGAGGCGGGCAAGGCGGGCAAGGTGAGGAGAATCGGTGGGTATGTAGCGACGTCTAGAGACCGTTTAGACTGTTAGACTTGGAGACGATGGAGGAGGAGCAAAGAGGGACAGAGGAGGGATGAAAAAGGACATCGGAAATGGGCTTGGGGGCTAATCAAGCGATGGAGCTGGAGCTGGAGCGGGCTTGCGGGCGGGCTTGGTCAGCGGGAGATGATGGGGGGGCGACCCAAGCGGGTGGGTGGTGGTTGAATGGTGGAACTGGCAAATGGTCAGTGCCGAGTGATGGTGATGGGTCATGTTGGTTGTCGGGATGCATGTACCTTTGTACCTACTATCCACAGCTGGAGACTGGGCTGGGTGGGAAGAGGAAGATGATGGCAAACATGGACTGACACAAAGCGAAAAAAAGGTGGCAGTTCCCCTCTTGTTTGACCAGCGCCTCGGAGCTAGCTAGGTAGGCTTAGCCGATTGGTCTTTTTGGCTCTGCGAGCCTGGTCAGTGGTTTTCGAGAGCACACCATCAGTTCACACAGCGAATCACGGGCGGGCGCCGAGGCGAGCAGAACCAGGTGGACAGTGTGTGGAGATCTTAGCACTGTAGATAGGTATTTCGTTTAGAGCAACCAAGGGACGCCAAGGATTGGGGGGACCCAGCAACGACAAGGAAGCATCAAGGAAGCATCAAAGAAGGCTGCTGTCCGAGATGCAGCACGGCTCGCGTGGTGGCACCAGATGCATAGATGCACATCATACCGTTCCAGGTAGCTGACATCTCTGCGCTGCGTTTGACTTGTCAAGTTGCTTACATCGTCTTCCGCATCTACCTGCATGCTGCATGCTGCGAGGGGCGCACACACACGCAACTCCAGATGATTTCTTTCCAATAAATCCCGCCATCCAATATGTTGCGTGCGACTTCCAGGGCCCGCAGCACAGGTCCAGCCCCCCGGTCGCCTGCCGAGTGCGGTGGGTGTTGCAGCCACGCTGTCCAGGGATGAGCATGGGGCTCCAGGGCCTTGTCGTCAAACCACGCGAGGAATGGATATCAATGAAGAGGGAAAAAAGGCACTCCATCTATCTAATAACTCGTCCGATTAATCCATGGGTAAAAGGGCCGCATCTCTGGGCACAACGGGGGGGCCGCAAGCGTGGACAATATTACCTAGTAGTAAGTACGGAGAGGTACGTACAGACGTAGTCCGTACGGGTAGCGGATACAGGGAACTCGCACAAACATGTTGCTGACCCGGGACACAGTGCGCCCGTATCCCCTGTAGCTTGTACTCCGCACGGCCTACGGCGGCGCCACCCCGCTTGCAAGCTCGCCCGCTAACTATTCCCTAGTGAAAAAAAAAACGTGAGAAAAAAACGCCGCGATTTTAAAGGATGCCCCGCTTCGTGTTGTGCGACAAATCTACTATTACTTACCAGGTATCCTGTTATCGTAAGACGGCCGATGGCTATGCTCATCAATGCCGTGACGCCGTCCCATCACCGGGCAAAGGGGAACCCTCCTCGTTGTCAGATTGCGTCCCGCAGCTGAAACACGTGGGAGCTGGAGCTAGAAGCCACGTCGGAACCTTCTCTGCAGCGTCTGTCTGCAAGTCGGCTGCAGGCCCTCCCCAACAGGGCGACATCGACACCATCAGACGGCGGCGGGGCGGGTTTCACTCTGTTGCGTCTCGTGAGTGTGATGTCGCAAAGCCTCACACCTGTCTTATATTAATCCTCTTATATTATTATATTATTATATTATTAAGGAGAACTCACTTATACCAATTCAAACAACCCAGAGAAGAAAAAAGGTCATTATTGACTGGTATGATTTCTTTATTTCTTTATTTTCGCTCCTTATTTACTCTTTGTTGCCTTGATCCCAGTGCGCCAAACGCACATACCGTGCCGTCTCGTCAATAAACTCGCGACCCTGCTTCAAGCTCCCGTCCATGTGCATAAATGGATGCGGGACGCCGACGAAGCGCTTCGCAATGACCTCGTTGCCGTGCTCCAGCAGCTTGCGCGCGTACGCCTCGCCCTCGTCGCGGAGGGGGTCTGCGCCGGCCGTGTAGAGGACGGTGCGGGGCAGGTCGGCAAAGTTGGGGGCGTCGAGCAGGTTGGCGAACCAGCCCATGTCGGCCTTGGCCTTTGCCGCCGCGGCCGGGTCGTCCTGCGGGAACTTGAAGCGGTTGAAGTAGGCGAGGCGCGCCCAGTTGAGCGTCGGCGCAAACTCGTTTTCGCGCATCGACGCGTGCGGCGAGTCGGCCGCCGCCGCGGGCAGGTCGTCGATGACGGGCGTGCCCGCGGCCACGAGCCGCAGCGGCAGGCCCGCGTCGCGCGCGAGGTGCGCGAGCGCGAGCGCCACAAACCCGCCCGCCGACACGCCGCCCACCGAGATGCTGTCCGGCTTGATGTTGAGCCGCGCCGCGCCGGAGCCGTGGATGTACTGCAGCGCCGCCCAGCTGTCGGTGATGGGCGCCGGGTACGGGTGCTCGGGCACGAGGCGGTACGCGACGTCGATGACGGCCACGTTGGCCTGGTGGCAAATGTGCTTGCAAATGTGCGCCTCCGTCTCGAGGTCGCCGAGGCCCCAGCCGCCGCCGTGGAAGTCGACATGCACGGGCCACGGACCGGGGCTCGCGGGCTCGTACACGCGGAGCGTCAGCTCGGTGCCGTCGGCGAGGGGAAAGGTCGTGTCGTAGGTGCGGGCTGCGTCGGGCGCCGCGCCGGTGCCGTAGCTGTAGAGCTGCGAGTAGTGCTTGCGCAGGACGGCCAGGTCAATGGGCCCGTTGGGCTTGAAGGCGACGTTGTCGTTGTAGAGCTGCACAAAGACGGGGTCCAGCTTGCCCTCCATCGAGGGGTGGATGGGCTGCACGGGCTCGTGGGATTTGTCGGCCATGGTGACGAGGGGGGGGGCTGTGTGTCTTTGTCGGTAGAGGGTTTGCGGTAGTTATGGGGGAAATGGAGACGTGGTTTCGCGGCGGCAGGTGATGAGATATATATTGCGGCTCGGAAATGAACGAGCCGGAAAAGCTGATCGGCAGGTTGGAGGTTGAGGCCCGCGTGGCGGGGTTGACTCCGGAGAGGGGTTTCCTCCGCCAGCCTTTGCCGTTGTCCGGCGTTGCGCGCGCACAGGGACGCGACGGCGCGGTTGTCACATACAAACCCCGCTGCAACGATTAGGGCCACAGAGGAGAGGGCAGCCGCTGGGCCGCTAAGTCAGAGGTAAAGATTTACCGCTTCACCAGCCCCTCAAGGCCAATGACCCCCTCTTGATCCGACGGACACCTGTGGGGAGCGGAATCAGCTCTTCCGACGTAGCCATCTGGTGACCCTATATAACCAACCATTTGGAGCGAAGCAATGTGCCCATTTCTCAATTCGATTCGCATCTTCTCTGATGTCGCTTTGTGTTGCGTGCATCTACCTACTAACCTACCTACGCATAGGTGACGAGCACGCAGTGAGCTGATGAGCACCAGAGTCAACCTCTCTCGAAATGGGGTTGCTTTTAGGGCAACCGCTCGCACTGGATCGCTGAGCAGTTTGCCAGCCGCCGCCAACGGACTCGAGATGGCCCTTGACCGTGGAAAGATGGGCAGCCATCAGTTCTTGAATTTACCTAAAAAACAAACCCAATTCGAAAGAGGTTCCCTCCGATTACTGCCATCTACTGACATTATTATTACAACAAAGAATTGACCCCTCTCTACAGACCCCTGCAAGACCGGCCTGATTATTACCCCCTCTGTCCGGTTTGCTTGCCTCGCAACTCCCCGCAAGCTGACTGCATTGGCATGCAGAGCCTCTCATGTGCAGATATCGTCATTATGCCCTGCGTGAGACAGCTCCAGTATTGCATGTTCTTTATAATGCCATCTAATAACAGTTTCCTCCGTCTTCGTCTGATTTATCCTTTCAAACTTTCCCCTTTTCTCCATTGTACTAACACGATTGCGCCCCGCCAGCCACACCGGCCCTGGGTTTCCTAGCCCAACGCCGCACCCGTTTGGAGTAAGCCAAGCCACACACTACATACAACGACAACAGACAACAGACACACCAACGCTGCGGTTTTTGTTTGTCTCTGCCCCCCTCCTCATTTCGTTCCTTGACTCTTCCCCCCTCGAAACAGAGCACAATTTCTCCGCAGATTTCGTCCCGCGCATCATGGACAAGCCCGTCCTCATCATCGGCGCCGGCGTCGTTGGCCTGTCATTGGCGCACGGCCTCAAAAAGGTTCGTCCAAAAAACCCCCCGCGCGCAGCCTCGTCCCACCACAAGTCCTAACCGCAGTTTTCAATCTGCAGAATGGCATCCCGTTTGAAATCTACGAACGCGACGAGCACATTGACGCCCGCCCGCACGGCTGGGCCATTACCCTGCACTGGGCGCTGCCGTTTCTGGAGGAGCTCCTCGACCCGGCGACCATGGCGGCGCTCGACGGCGTCCAGGTCGACCCGAGCGTCGGCCGCCACGACACGGGCAACTTTGTCTTCCTCAACCTCGCCACGCTCGAGCCCAAGTTCCACATCCCGCCCAACCACCGGCGCCGCGTGAACCGCGAGAAGCTGCGCAAGCTGCTGCTGCGCGACGTGGCGGCGCACGTCCGCTGGGGCAAGCGTCTCGACCGCGTCGACGTCGACGACGGCGGCGGCGGCGGCGTGCGCGCCGTCTTTGCCGACGGCACCGCCGCCGACGGCAGCCTGCTCGTCGGCATCGAGGGCGCCAACTCGCGCACGCGCCAGTTCCTGCTGCCCGACGCCTACCGCAACCACCAGCTGCCCGCGCGCCTGCTCGGCGCCGGCCTCACGCTGTCCGCCGCCGACGCCGCCCCGCTGCTCGCCATCGACCCCCTGCTCTTCCAGGGCTGCCACCCGGACACGGGCAACTACCTGTGGATCTCGCTGCTCGACAGCCCCGAGATCAACGGCACGCGCGGCACCGCACGCGAGACGTACCGCTTCCAGGTCATCCAGTCCTGGCTCGCCAAGACGCCCGAGGACGAGGTGCCCGCCGCCGATGCGGACCGTATTGCCGTCATGAAACGCCGCGCCGACGAGTTTCACCCCACGCTGAGGGACGTCGTCCGCAGGCTGACGGTCGAGGACGCCGAGGTCACCGAGATTCTGCTGCAGGACTGGCCCTGCCAGCCCTGGGACAACCGTGGCGGCCGCGTCACGCTCGCGGGCGACGCCGCGCACGCCATGACCATGTACCGCGGGGAGGCTGCCAACCACGGCCTGCTCGACGCCCGCAACCTGTACCGCGCGCTCGCGTCTGTCGCGGCCGGTACCGTCTCGCTCAAGGACGCTATTAACGGATACGACGCTGAGATGCTGGAGCGCACTAACCCGGCTGCCTTGCTTAGCCGGCAGGCGTGTCTGGATGCTCACGACTTTCATTGTCTTAACAAGGACTCGCCGGTTCTAAAGCGACGAGCTATTAAGTGATAATAGTGGAAAGATCGTAGTATATGTTGATTAAATATAATAACGTATATAGTAAACTATAGCCTTACACATTGACCTATCCTCAGGTGATGCTCAAGAGAAAGCACGAGTTCCTTTCCAAGCCGTATTGCATCTTCAGCAGCTCTTGTCTCGCTTTTTTCACCCCAGCGACAACTGCCAGCCCACTCGCGACCGCCTCAAGCTCGGCTATAGAGTGCCGTGACAAGATGGCGAGCTCGCTACACACCTGCGGAATGCAATGTTTTCGTGCCTGCGCCATGCTCGCTCGGCACAGGTGTAGAACGATGCGCACGCACTGTAAAGAGATATCATAGCTGTCATGAAAGAAGATTGTCCTTGGTACTCTTGTCTAATATTTGCTGATGCGACATTATGCGAGCAAACCGCGCTGGACATCCCCAGGCTCTGGGGGAGGAAGCTTGGCAAGGTCAATATCTTCTGCGAGTTCCTTGGCGCGCTGCACATCCACCCCCAGTCTTTCAAACAGATACACGAGCTCTGGATACCGCTTCATGGCAAGCCCTACATAAGAAAGGCTCAGACCCTGGCTCTGCGACTTGATCTCCTCTCGATACTTGCTTTCAAGCGCCCTCAAGTCCGCCGCATCATGAAATTTGTTACGGGTCGCCGCGGCGCGGAGTTTCCCCTTAAATAGCTGAAATGCAGAAAGAAAATTGGACGTGCCCTGTCCAAGCACTGCACCGTGGATGACCTGCCTCTTCAGTGACAAAGCAGACATGGAATATTGGGCTCCTGCGTTGTATCTCGATGAGTATGCATGCTCGACGTCGCACGGGGATGTAGTAACCGACCGGGGAACTGTTCACAGAATATTTCCACCAGGACTGCTCTGCGCCTGTCGGGTTGGTTCGACCAGAGGAAGGCAACATAGTCTTGACGGCTCTGGGGTATAACCGCAAAGCCATGCTTGCCATCCAGCAGCCTGATCGCCTGATCTTTGGTTACAGACGCTAGACAATCAATGTCCTTTGTGATTCGGATACTGGCGAGCGTGATGACAGCATAACCTCCAAATATTCCAAACTGCACACCATGCTCGCTGAGTGCGCCGTGTAGGGCAATGGCGGCGTCGTTCAGTCTCTCTTGGTTCATGACTTCACACACCGTATGGAGAAGATGTGTTGGGAGAATGAAGGGATCCGAGATGATTCGAAAGGAGGCCGCCCAACATTATCTTCTGCGAATGGTGGCGTGCATGGGCACGGCTGGCGTCTAAGCAGCTGCACGCGGTTCCATTGGCCAGCAGGGCAAACAGAGGTGCAGATGGCTGCCCGGACCCCGCAATCCATCACATGTATCCTGCTATAGATTTGACATACTCGGCTTCTTCTTTATCACGAACAAAACACGTGATCGTGTTTTCCGAGAAGTGGTCCATCCTGAAGGGCTTGTTGGCTATATTCTGGAGGATCAGAGAACGCGCTGCAGGCTCACAGTCCTGCAGCTGGTCGCTCACCCAGCCTTCATCCAAATCCATGCCGTCGATGAGCTCTTCGACAGCAATCATGGCCATATCGTCCCTTGTCGAGAGGAATTTGGCAGCCTGGCCGCGCAGATATGGGGCTAGCCGGGGCAGCGTCATGGCCGCCATCTCCTCGGCGTTAAACCCGTCCATCTCCTTGCTGACGTGGCAATCGGGGGCTCGAATCGTCAAGGTTTTCTCGGCGAGAGGCTCCAGCCCATACACATGTGCGGTAAAGATGATGATGGTCTGCTGCCGGTCTGGCAAAAATGTCGTTCTCAACCGCGGAAAGCCGCGCTTGTACTCTGTGTAGTTGTTTATCGTGGGCTCTGGATCGCAAGGCTCAAAGTTGCCCGACAAACACAGCTTTGCAGCTGCCAGGACCAAGTATCCTCTCGAAACGCAGAATTCTAATTCCTGTATTGCTTCATTAACTCGCAGGGTCACGGGAAGGGGGCCATAGAAAGGGGGTCACGGGAAGCGGCCATAGAATAAAGGTGACAAACATAGATGGCCCGAGGAACGTTGTAATAGTTCAGGACTAGCTCGCCAACACTGCACACTGCAATGCCGCATCCCCCGAGGACGCGATTCACAACTTCTATCGGCGTCATTGTGGTCGAAAGCACCTAGGCGGCGTCTCCTGGCTTGATGGAGTTGAGTTTATCCAACAACCGCCCGCGAAGTTTAGTTAGTGTCAGACCCACACAAGCTCCCCACGCGTTTTGCCGCTTCAGGTGTCTTCATTTTAAACAAAAAACGTTGTTTTTGAATTACTATAATAAGTATAGAAACGATTATTTCAATAGTCAAAGATGACCAGTTATTTACTAAACCAGGGTTATAAGCAAGATGTATATAAGTACCTTATACATTCGAGAAGGTAGAGGAGATGGACACTCTTATAGGGGGTCTACCTTGTACTACCTACCTACCTACGTGTTGACCGTACTGGTGGTATTTGCGTAAGTACCAATTCTCATTCTAGCCCGCCCCCTCGGTGGTCTCACAATCCTCCATCTTCCATTCATCTACCATCATGAGTGCTTCACCTCCTCCGACTCCGCCCTCACGACCTGGACTTGACAAAGAGCGCAGATTCAAGGCCATAAACTCGCCATGCGAGTGGATTGAGGATTATCGCCCCGGTGGATACCATCCAGTCTTACTCGGCGACCTCTTCAACGACGGCCAGTACAAAGTCATTCGCAAGCTCGGTGAAGGCTCTTATTCGACCGTGTGGCTGGCCTGTGACGAGCGGCAAGTCCCGTCGTACACGCGATACTTCACCGCGTACCTCGCTAACTCGCTTCAAGGAAGAAATCATACGTCGCTTTGAAGATTCAGGTTGCTGATGCCTCGCGACAGTCAAGTGAAGTGCGCATCCTACGGCACCTTGCTGGTGCGGCACCCGCAGAGGGGCATCGCTATGTTACCCAACTGCTTGATGAGTTTGAACACTGCGGTCCCAACGGAACACATAAATGCTTGGTTTTTGAGCCGATGGGCCCGAGTGTGAATTCCATGGTTGAGGAGCTACCTCAGTTCAAGCCTCGTCGACGGGAAATGAAGGTCCGGTACCCAATACACATGGCAAAGGGCATTCTCAAGCAGTCCTTGCAAGCTTTGGCGTTTCTTCATTCAAAGGGTGTCGCGCATGGCGATTTTCAACCCGGAAATATGCTCTTCGCTTTGCAAGATCTCAAGTCAGTGGCAGAAGCTGAACTTCGGCAGAAGGAGGACGAACAAACTGCATCAACTTCGCCCCCAGTGCAAAGGCTGGATGGCAAACAGGACAAATGGGCACCGCGATATCTCTGCATCGCGCAGCCATTACCAGCGTTTACCTGTTATGAGGGTGATTTTCAGATCAAGCTGGCTGACATGGGTGGCGGTTAGTACCTTCACTGCGGACTGTTCAGTTTGTACTTGTGGCTTTGGCTAATCTTTTTTGACAGCCTTCTTTTTTGAAAGCCCGCCGTCAAAACCACTAGTTCCGCTCGGACTACGCTCGCCCGAACTAATCCTGACCGGAGACGTGGACCAATCCATCGATATTTGGAGTTTTGGCTGCCTCGTGTTTGAGCTTGTCACTGGGCAGCCTCTCTTCTGCATACCACGGTCCAAATTCGAAGATGACGACCATCTCCTCTCCTTGGCCACCCGGATTGGTGCTCTTCCTGATGGACTCTTCCAATGCTGGAAAACATCGTCCCGATACCTCACGCCCGATGGGAGAGTTTTCAACTCCCAGCTCGGAGGCGTCCCAGACGGCGGGGAGCCACTGGTGCTGCACGAGCCTACCATGGAAGAAGTGTTTGGCGAGGCGGAACCTGATATTGACGAGGAGCAAGGCCGCCAAGTGAAGAAACTCATCAGGCGCATTCTTCAGTATGATCCTGCAAAGCGCCCTTCGGCGGCCGAACTGTTACTTGATCCATGGTTCCACGATATAGACGGCGATGTGAACTCATCCAATGTAGCTGTTGTTTAGGTATACCGGTACGGCAATATAGCGTTAGTTCGTCTTATTATATCTACGCGGGTCAATACTGTAACTTCCGTACCTTGCTTCTCAAACACCAATCTCTCGCCTCTTTTGCACAGCTGATCCGGAAGTACCTGGAGCAAAAGATTTTTCTGAAATTGGCTGGATACAGGGGTTGATTACTGTGAAAGAAAGAAACCGCCAATCTAGAAGATGTGATAAGGGTAGGATGATTGACCGCTAACATGGAGGATTCAATTAAGACATAGAGGAGTCAATTAAACAACTACAACTGTGAAAATAATAGCAGAACAAATACAAGCTAACTAATAGAAATAAATATGTGACGCGATTTACTACTATTAGCTGCTACCTGTGTGGTCGAAAGCCCCAGGCGGCATGTCATGTCATGACCAGCAGGCGTCTCCCCACACAGGGGTCGTCCACCTCCAGTCTACACCATCCCATCCCGCCCGCCTTCACCAATCACTCTCGTCCCTAAAATGCGATTTCCTCTTAAGAGGCTGCTGCACCGCTCATGGTACAGCCGCGTGCAGGTTCTCTCCGACCTCCATCTCGAAATCGGCTCGCAGTACGGCTCCTTTACGTTTCCCGCGACGGCGCCCTATCTGCTGCTCGCCGGCGACGTGGGCCGACTCGTCGACTACGACGGCTACCTCGGCTTCCTGGCGGCGCAGACGGCGCGGTACGACGCCGTGCTGCTCGTGCTCGGCAACCACGAGTTCTACCAGCTCTCGTACGCGGCGGGGCTCGCGGCCGCGCAGCGCCTCGCGGCCGAGCCCTGCCTGCGGCGGCGGCTGGTG